GAATGCAGGAGGTTTTTTTCTTCCTTTTTGTTACTCTGGCACAAAGCCTGAGGTTTTTCTGTATTGGTTCCCAACATAATGCTCAGTAATTCCCTTGACACTTTCTCAGCTGAACAATGTTTCTTGTTGATACTTCCTCTCTTTATGAATACATTACTGCCACTGTGACTGTACTCAAAACCAAACTGCCATGCTAGTTTCAATATTTTTATATTCTTATTTGTTTTAAACAGCCACTGTGGAATGTTACAATCCCAGAATGAATGAATGGAGCTATGTCGCAAAAATGAATGAACCCCACTATGGTCATGCTGGAACTGTGTATGGGGGATTAATGTATATTTCAGGTAAATAATTCCTATGATCATATCCTCTCTATGAAACAATTACTTATCTAACTTTTCCTATTTCAGTGGGAGACAATAAAAGTTGTCTCTGCTTCTAGTAGGTTTGCCATGGTATAAGCAGTTATGCAATCTCATATGAAGCCAGTCAAAGAGCATATATAATGCAGTCTGAGAAAATTATTTTAGGTAATACTGTATATTTACATAGTAAATGACAGCTCTGAATTCCAAAACAGTTATTCACTTTAACTGTGTTTTTCTGTGGCAACACCACGTTATATACATTTATATAGCAATAACCATTAAACACATCCTTTTTGATACATTTTGGAAAGCATTGGAAACTTTAAAGAACATCTGCCTTCATTGACCTAATGGAAAGGGATAAGTTTTCATGTTAATCACAGTATATGAACGATGTCTGTACTCTCATTTATAATATGCTCAGTCCTATATGTCACTGAGGTTATAGTTTCATTTAATTTTTTTTTCCATACGAGGGGCAATAGATTTTCTGGAAATCTGGTATCTGTTCAATTTTTAGAGAAGATTCAATCTGTCAGTGATCTCTATAGAGGTGACAGACCTGTGCATGTTCTCCTACTGTGATTTTTAGGGATGGCCTCTTAAGAAGTAAGCTGAAATTCAGGACAGGGCAAGGTGACTTAGCTGTGAAGAACTGCTGGGGAGATGCACTGGAGCAGATTGACCCTCAGGGTGTTTTGAAGTGAAGGGCCTTGTGCCAGTAGACTAGGAGGGATTTGTTTTAAAATTTACTATAAGGTACAGCTTCTTATTTTTCTATACCAAGTCCATTAAGCTAGCTTCTAATCATTGTGCTGCTATTTGTACTTTTTTGCCCATTTTGCTTGTCTTACTGCAGGTGGCACAGCATATGCTCCCTCCTGGGTTTTTTCATGTGGATGCTATGTGTTTCCCACAGATTTTTCTTTTTGTTCTGTCCTCTCGGATATCCTCATGAGTCTAGGCACTTTTGGAGTTGAAAATGTGAAGATTGGTTCCTTTGTCAGTAAAGCCTCTTCTGTCTGGCAGGCTCCCAAGCATTGCGGCTGCTATGGCTGTCATCGAGTGTCAGGGCTGGACAATCCTCCTGTTTTGTCTGTATTTATTTCTTACTGTCCAACTGAAGAATTAAGTACTTTCTTGCATACCTCCTGTAAACACTATGCCATCTCTGTCCACTAGTAATCCAAGCATGGTAATTCAGTGTTGAATAGTTAGCCCAGCAGGAGGTTGTTCAGTAGCAGTGTGTTCTCTGCATATTTTTAGGACCTCAAATATAGTTGCATTATGGTCTTAAACCATAGCTAATAAGCCTACAGTGTCTGAAATTGGTGTGACTGCTTTCTGACCTGCCTGGCGACCTTGCGGAAAGGTGGGATGTTTCACCCGCTGATGGGAAATCGTCCTGTGATTTCCCCTGAAGCCTCTCCAACTGCTTTTGCAGGGAACCATGGAGAAGGTAAATATAGAGAGAGAACCATAGGCATCTATTAACAGAAGAATATTTGAAATCTGTGTCCCCTCTCTCTTTAGTTCAAGTTGATGAAAAAAGTTTTCTGAAGAAAATTCTATGTGATAATATAAAATGCAATAGTGTAGTATCAAAATTTGAAGGAGAAATGGATTCCCGTTTTCTTGATTTTGAGAAACAAAGCTATAAAGCTGAACAAACATAAGTGAAGAAATAATTTTGCCAAAGTGAAGCATAGGTAACCATTTTTGGTTCTTTTAGTCTGCCCGTATCATCTTGTGTAATGAAGTACTGTATGAGACGTGGCTTCTTTCCATATTCAGATTTAAATGAACAAGGCACATGAAAAGTATAATTTGAAATGGACTACATATGTGATAGTGGTTTAAGCTGAAGTGAAGAAGTTTTAAAGATGGAATTAATTCACAAAAATGTGGTTTTCTTGCTATTTAATGCTTATTAGGATGAGCACTACTCTTAACGTGTGTTTTATTTCTCTAGGTGGAATTACTCACGATACTTTCCAAAAGGAACTTATGTGTTTTGACCCTGACACAGACAAATGGACTCAGAAAGCTCCGATGACAACAGTCAGAGGTCTGCATTGCATGTGTACTGTAGGAGACAAGCTATATGTTATTGGTGGAAATCACTTTAGAGGAACGAGTGATTATGATGATGTCCTAAGCTGTGAATATTACTCACCAACTCTAGACCAGTGGACTCCAATTGCTGCCATGTTACGTGGGCAAAGTGATGTTGGGGTTGCTGTCTTTGAAAATAAAATCTATGTTGTTGGAGGATATTCTTGGAATAATCGGTGTATGGTGGAAATAGTTCAGAAATATGATCCAGAAAAAGATGAGTGGCATAAAGTATTTGACCTTCCAGAATCACTTGGTGGCATTCGAGCCTGCACTCTTACTGTTTTCCCACCGGAGGACAATACAGGGTCACCATCTAGAGAATCTCCTCTTTCAGCACCTTAGAAACATCCCTTGACTTATGATGTTGTAGTAACACCTTTGCACTGCATCATGGAGTCTATTATTTTTCTTCAGTAGTTTCTATTAGGCTTAGCCTACAGCATTTCGTACAATTACTGGAAAAAGAAACCCCACAACTTTGACATTATTTGTGCTGTTTGTTGGCCTAGAATGTTTGTCAAGTGGTTAACAAAAACAGATGTACTCACCCGAGCCAAATGTTTAACAAATGAGAAGATATTGTCTATAAAATGTATGAACTAGGTACGTTTATTAATGTTGTGTATTGGGTGTGAGGTACCTTTATAGCTACCATTTGGAAGCCCAGTGAGTCAAATTTGAAGACTTTGTATTGAAGACGTTCTTTCAGTAAATTTCATAGTTTAAATCCTTTTTCCTTTCATTTTTGACTGCTGATTATAAGGGGAGGTAGACCACATCAATGTGAGCTATGACAGAAGGTTGCCAAGGGGCCTGAGCTACCTCCCTCTTTTCAGAGTATTTTTGACATAGCTGTTTACCCGCCTGACTTTGTGGGTGCTTTCAGAGCATATGAAGTTTCTTAGGCAGAGGGGAGAAATAAAATAATTTTAAAATATTAACACTATACAGGAAGCAGACCTTGTAGAGGCCGGGAGTTTTTTATAACTTATTGAGTGTTTTTCCTCAGTCAGTTGAGTGATGCTTCAAACAAAAGATTTACAATGTTTGGGTTTTTTAATTTGGGTTTTTTCAGGAATTGGCTTCCGCTTGCGTGGGAGCACACACTATTAACAAACGGGAATTCAGTGCAGTTGTATATTCTCTTGTATGCCTGTACTGAATATAGGTAGATAAGGGCTAGAAACATTAACTTAAGCCACTGAATTTGACCACATCGTTCCATCAAATTTAATCTACCTTTTCTCCTTTGCTGTTGAGAACTTGCATAATGTGTCCTCTGTATAGTCTCAGTTAATAAGGTTGTTCAGCACAAAGTGCAGCTTCAGTGAGAGCTGCTTTTGCTCAGTGAACTTGGACTACCACATTTTACTTTATTTTGTTCAATAAAACTTCTAACTGCAGTTATTCAGTCTAAGCTACCTCATTAATGTATTTGGTTTTCTTCCTCTGCCTCACTGTCTCCAGGTTACACGTTATGTATATCTGTGTGGGTAGATTAATTTGCTAGGAAACCAATGCAGAAGTGATCATGAATGGGTATTTTGACCTACTTTTAAGAAACTATTTTGGCCTGATGTGTTCATTTTATTGTTAAGGACTGACAAAAGAACAAACTGTCTTACTTTGTTTCCTTGGAGAACTACTGCTTATGTTTGCAGCCATGCATATTTACAGAAATCTTTGTCAGCTGCAAAATACAGCGCGCTGCTGACAGTTGCAGCTCTGAGTGCTTATAGAAGGCTAATAGCATCGTGCTTGTTCTGTACCATCGTATGTTACAAGTGGTTTTGCTAATGAAGAGTCAGAGGGGCCACCATCTGGGGAAAACTGTTTAAATTGGTTAGCTTGTGTAATTATGCTACCTATCACCAATAACCATGTAAAGCTTAATAGACTTGTTGGGAGTATGCTATTTGTATTTTGTCCCTGCTTGATGCATCAAGCAGCAGTATTGCTATGGTGTCAGTTTTGATATTTATTCTTTATGCAGTTTACTAGTAATGATCTACCAAAATGTGTGTGTAAACTTTAGGTTTTGAAATTGTTTTGGTTAAAATCAAAATCAATTCTTCCTTTTTAAAAAAAGTATACTTACTTCTGTGTAGCTGTGCAAGATTGTTATAGGTGTTAATAGTGTCACCAGTGGATACTCTTGGAAAGTAGCCAGTCAATAAGAATCGACTCAGCATCTTAAGAATGCTCTTCTAATGCTGCACAAAGCACCAGATAAGAAAATGTTGGTCTGTTGTTTAAGTAGGTGTCAGTCATTTGTCACATGCTACTATTTTTCCTTCCAGCTCAGAGACCAGATTTTAGAGCCTGCTTGAGTTTAAATCCCCTGAAATCTGTGTTCCATTTCTGTTTTATTAATTAAACTAAAAAGGAGTTGGAAGTAGTTGCAACTCCTTTTGGATAATGTAACTATATCCTGCTCTTGGTATTCTGGGGATGAGAAGATGCACTGTTTACAAGTGTGTATCTTCACTGGTATTCTCTATTTGGAAGAAGCTTAGTGTGGGTTCTAACCATTGTGAGATGGTTAGAAGTCAGGATGTCAAAGTTTTGTGTTTGAGAGTAGCCCAGGAGCTGGTATATGGCCACAATGTAGAGATTTATTTTTGCAGTGACTCATTATCTATTATACTTAAAGTGGAAGAATTCTTTTTGAATGTCATTTTGCCATCAGTGTTGGACACAGCATAGTGAATTAAATGTAGTGCTTCAATCAAATTAATCTTTGAGGTTTTTTCTTGTAGCTCCCCTTGGATTAAAGTGTTCATTATGACATTAGTTAACATCTACTCACTGGGATTGAAAAGCAAACATCAAAGATTTGCCAAAAACTGTGCAAACTGTTTTCTTCTGTAATGCAGTGTAAAATTACTTCATGCTCATTACATCTTTCTTAACCATAGCATAACAAACCCTTTCCATCTCTGAATCTACAGCTGTCGATATGCTTATAGATACAGCAGATATTCCGCCTCAATTTTCAGTAAGGCTGCTTTTATGAAGAGTAAGCCTGTCATAGTATCTAGAGCCAGCAGTGTCCAGATGATAAGGAGCCACGTCTTTTTTCTTTTTGTAAATCTTGAATGCTTTAATTTTTGCAGTTATAGTGCCTAAATTAGAAAAGCATCTGGATAAAAAGCAATTAGTAGAGATTTGACCTGAATGCAAATAAGACTACATTAGTGTGCTAGCAGGGAGAGATGCTGGAGCTGTCTGCCTTTGCCCAATGATGGCAGACCCACACTACAATCTCAGAATTTTTTTGGACTTTGCTTTTTTTGGTGCCCAATTAGTGGCAAATACCAGAAGTGCTCACTTCCATGTACAACTTGTTAAAAGGCCCAGCTGATATCCCTGCAAAGAAACACAGCACTCTGAATGACTTGAGACATCTGGGATGACATTTCCTTTGTGCTTTGTCTGAAATAAGACAAGAATGATGGGGAAGAAAACTTGGGAAAACCTGGGGTATTTGAAGTTTCTTTGCCTTGTTCACATCAAAGAGCTGGTCATCTGCAGATGGTCAGTTTTCTGTGGTTCACCTTCCCTTAGAAAGTTGTATAAAGTCTTAAGAGTCTGGCCCAGGGAAAGCAATTCATGGCAGGACCCAATCTATCTTGGGGCATTTGCAGTCTTGACATTCTTGAGAGAATGGAATTGTCATGAAGGGGTAACAACTGGAGCAGCAGAAGGCTGCTGTCTCACGGCCTGACCTGCAGCTCTAGAGTTCCCTTGTACTGAAGAATCACCGTGAGTCTTAACTTCTTCTATGAACAAAACTGAGTTGTTTCTCATACCAATGCTATTTTTAAATTGCCCATTCTGTTTCTGAGGGGGTAATCTTCAAGGAATAGCATTTTAGTAACAGTCAGAAGCTCAAACTAGTAGTCCGATTCTTTAGCAGAATAACAGAAATCTTGGATTAGGGCAGTTGCATACAGATAAAATTCCTCCTGAAGGCTTACAGTCTTAATCTGATGGGCTGGTTGCACATCAAAAAAGAATTTGATGCTACAGCACTAAGTGCAATGCAAACATCTGGAGAAGTTTATAGCCGAAGATTTGGGGTTTATCTGATCTGGAAAGATCAGATCACTTTTTCTGCGAAGTTCACTCTACCTAATAGAATTGTTGTTCCTTCTTAATTTACTCTCCAGCTGGTAATGACCTCATCTTTGCATTGTTGCTAGTTTTTTAATTCTTCCTTTTTGTAGCTGACATCTTTGTTACTTCCTCTGCTCCTAATCAGAATCGATGAAGCTGAGGCTTTTCTAGCGGCGCGGTCCTCATGCCAAGGGAGAGAATAGCCCACTGCTGGTATGTGCATACTTGGAAATATGTAAGCAGTTTTAACCTAGTAAAGGGTATGTGTGTGTTAGAGTAATGGATATCCCATTTCCTCCTAGCTTGCACCTTACATGGTGATTTAGGTTGTGTGTAGTGATAGATTACCCAGAGATCTGGAGAGTGAGTCAAGCTCTCTTATGTAGCACTTTATGCTTCCATGCTCTGTGGAAGTGTTCTTTGCTTGCACAGCATATGTAGCTTATCAGGTTTTTTTCTTTTGTATTTTAGTTGAAATGTGAATGATAGTTCTTTGTGTACAGATGTGGTCAGAAAGAAAAGTCTTAAAATGCGGAGTTACGTATGCTTTGCTTAATGGTAAAGTTTTTGGTCCCGTGAGTATTGCAAACCCATTCAGCTGTGAAAAGGTGATCGCAGTTTTGGGAACAAACTAGGGAATTAGGATGACTTCACAGCCTGGCATCAGTTCAACATGTTCTTCTTGCCAGTCTTTTGCACATCATTAAGTGAACTTCTTTTCTCAGTCTGTAGGCTGTATCTTTTGATGTCCAGCTCTGTCAGGACCTGCTGATTATCTATGCTGGGGAAAATGTGGTGGGATTTGTTCCGCATCTTACTCAGTAAAACATGGCTAGTTTTTTTAGTTTGTTTTTTTTTTTTCAGGAATTCCAGCATCAGTGATGTGCAGGAGTCCTCCAGAGTTATTTGATGCCCAGGTGATTTGTAGAAGTTGCAGCCTACAACCTGGGAGTGGTGCTACAGCAGGAGCTGTGCACGGTTGACATTCCAGATGGGATCATCTGGAATGGGGATGGCTCCTGTCTCTGTGTATTATTTTGGCTCTTGAATGCTGGTTTC